TCTGAACCAGTTCCCCCCAGTACTTTCTGTGAACTGGACCCTCCTGTCACCTGGGATGGTGTCGGAATCTGAGGTATTGATGATTCCCAGATTGTAGAAAGTCTCTGTCTTTCTGCCCCGCTGCCAAAGCAGAAGCCATAATTGGTCTGTGCTGTTTCAAGGTTGTTTATTCTGTTTATCTCTAACATGTTCTGCTGCCCTGCCGCAGCTCTGTCCTGCAGGGCAGCGTGTGGGGCTCTGCCCTCAGTGGGATGGTACAAACATTAAATACCACAAACTACCTGTGCTGGATTTACAATAACGTGCCAATATCTGTCACCTACGTTGGACAGTGTGTCCCCAGCCTGAACCAACAGAAAAATGCCAACACCACAGTGAAACATGGAGGGCATGAAGAAGGAGAAAAAGGACAAGGCACACCCAATTTCCTGCATCTTGTCCCCTTTGGACCCCTAATCTAGAATCCTAAAATTTTACTTTTGCACCCGTGCCACACTTAATTATCACTGATATCAAACACTCAGAGCTTGTAATTCATCCTGTAAGATTGAAAACTCTTTTCCATGGACAGAGATCACAGACAGTGTCTCTGGGGGCTCTGTCCAGGGGGGTTCCTGACCCCTGCCAGGGTCCCAGACCTGCCAGGGCAGCCAGAGGGAAGCTCTGGATTCCCACAGGATGGGGTGGGGACACTCTTGGGGTGATATCTTTGCTGGTGTTACCTATCCACTCTTCCTTTCTCTGCTGCTGGTGCCACCTCACGTGGTAAGTAAAGGTAGTTCCAGCCGTGTGCCTGCCTCCTCTCACCAGCCATGAGCAGATCCTGGTGCCCAGGGCAGCCCCAGTGCCTGGAGCACGGCACTCAGGGGGTGCCAGGGCTGGAGAAGAGGTGATAGGGAGCAAAGGACACAACTGGGAGCCTCGTGTTGGGAAGTGGAAGATCTCAGGGGGCTGGTGAAAGGCTGCAGGGCTTGGCCCGTGTTGGCAGAGGTGTTCCCTTAGCTGTGCTGCTCAGAACGTGGTGTGCAGTGTTTGTTTTGGTATCACGACCTGTGGGGAGGGAGAAGGGCTTCCTGCTGCTGCTGCTGCTTAAAGCCTCATTCCTGAAACATCCTGTTTGGCTTCCCCTTTACCTGCTGGGAGTGTGCTGGGATCTGGGAGCCTTCCCAAGTCCTGGTGCCGTGGGGGTGAGCACAGGGGATGGATCAGGGCAGCAGATCTCACCAGAGGAGCTCTGCCCTGCCCAGTTTTTACTGGTGGAGGAATTGCTGCCTGGAATGCAGCTTCCACTGCTTTAAGGGGAGGCAGAGGTCACTTTGTATGTCCTATTCCCTGACTATTTCTATTTTGTTTCCTTTTTCTGTGCTGTCCTGAATGTGAAGATGATGATGGAGGCTCTGCACCACTGTGAGTACCTTGCCTGTTCCTATTTAGCCAGATTTATACTGGTAGATCTCATCCAGCCAGGGAATCTGCTCCAAAGAGAAAAGCTTTATGCAAAGATAAAAACTGGCTGGTGTGGGATGATACTCAGTGGGGGGGGAGATGTCCCCCTGTGGTTCATTTGGTGTCCCCATCTGCAAACCACACAAACCTGAGGTGCCACTGGTGTCTGCCCCTGCTCTGGGATCTGCTCTGCACCCTCTGCTTGGACCTGAGGGGTGGTGCTGGGGGAATTTCTGCTCTCCCTTCCCTCACGCCCCTTCTCCCTTCCCAGGAAGAGCAATGCCACAAACCACAAGGACAAGAACGTCCGCCAGAGAAACGCCAACTAAGCAGGGCCAGGTGAGTGCCCGGGGCAGGAGCTGCAGCTGCTGAGGCCCAGCTCTGCCAGCCCAGTGCAGCTGCACTGGTGCAGCAGAATTTATCTAACTGGATTTTCTTCTTTCTCTCCTGCCAGGTGATGTGTAGATGAAGAACTCGTCTGGACAATTTTATTTTCTTTTAATTTTTTTTGGTAAAATAGCACCATGGAATACTCTAGTGCGTCCTTGCAATTCAGTTACTTCACTTTCTAAGGAAACTTAAGTTGTAGAATATAAAATACAGTACTTTTTTTTTTTTTTTAAAGAGTCGTGGGAGGGTTTTTTTCTACCTGTAAATGTAAATCCTTTGTTCCTGGTAGTCTAGGTCTCTGCCTGTCTCTGTCCTGGGTTATTTCATGTTGGTACAGGGTGGGGAGGGGGGTGGGAATGCAGCTGTGTCCCACCTGCTTGTGGGGGTGAGGGAGGAGCTGCTTTGGTGGCTGTTGGGAGATGACCTGATCTGACCAGAGGGTTCAGGAAGAGGTTCTGTGTCTGTCCCAGTGCGTCACCAGGAGCAAGGCTGCACTTTTCCCTGGCCAGGGCTCGTTCCTGGCACGTCCCTGTTGGGCAGACTCCCAGTCAAGTCCTGCCGAGCTGCTCTTGGTTACTCTGCAGCCAGGAGCTGGATGCTGGATAAATGATTGCTGTAACTTATTCCATGGGCTGCTCGTGTCTCTGCAGTGGGGAGGGGCAGGGTGAGCCGGGGCTGGGGGTGCTTTTAAGGTTTAACAGCTTTGTGCTTGTGCTTGAGCCATCGCGGCGTGTGCATGGCGTGGCAGCCTGCGAGCAGACAGGTGCTCAGGGGAGTCTAACACCTTTTACTGCTGGTTAGAACTGTTCCATCTGTTAACACTTCACAAATAAAGATGATTCCTCTCTCTTTTTTCCACCTCTGGACTCCGGTCTCTTCCCTCTGGGCCGCCTGAGCCTCTGGCTGCAGAGCACGATGCTGTGCCTGGGTTTGGTGCCAGCTCTGGCTGCCCTCTAATTGCTGAGGAGATGCAGCTCGATGGGTGTAAAAGCCTTTGTGGAGGGAGGCAGGGAGGAGGGAGGGGTGTTCCAGCTCTGCAGAGCCTGGAGGAGCCTGGGGCACACAAGCCTGTATGGGACAGTCTCCCCTTCTCCCCTTGCCCTGCTCCACAGTCCCTCAGGTTGTGTGGCTGTGGGGCCAAGGATCAGCCCCAGCCTCGAGGAGCCCTCCCAGGCCCTGCCAGTTGTGTGTCTCACACTTCCCCAAGCAGATTTTCTAGATTTGTTTGGGGTTTTTCCTGCCCTTTATGGTTGCTGAGAACAAAGGTGAGAACTTTGTGCGCAGAGTCCTGGGGCCAGGACTGGGTCTGGTGGGGAGTCTCTTTGCTGGCAGCCCTGAGCTCAGGGGGCTTCTGGCAGCATTCCCGCCCCTGGATGAGGCAGCAGAGCCCAGGATGGGCCGAAGAGAAGCTGCCCTGTGCTCCCAGCTGGCCTGTGGTGCTTCGTTCTGGGCACATGCCTGAGCCATGGCCTTGCTCTGTACCAGATGCTCACCCCAAAGGCAGAGCACAGCTGTGGTGGCCACCCTGTGCCCAGAGAGGCGGTGGCAGTGCTGGCAGCCTGGTGCTGTGGTGGCAGGGTCCCTCCTGCCAGTGCCTGTGCCTTGCTGTGCCATCGGAGCGAGGGCAGCGTGGCTCTGTGCCTGTAAATGGGTTATGCAAGGCTTTCACAGCCCCAGCCTTGTGCCATCCTGGTGAGAAGTCAATGCATGGTTTAATTTCCTTTATCAGGATTTTGGGTCCTGTCTGAGCCCGCTCTGGGCTGCAGCACAAAGCACCACTTGTGCCTTTGGTTTGGCTGGGCAGGAACAGGGGGACAACAGCCCTGGGAGCTGGGCAGGGGATGGAGTTGGCATCGTGGCACCCTGGGCTGCGTTGCAGTTGTCCTGGTGAGCTGTGGCACAGCCCTGCCATGACCCCAGGCTGCCACACGGAACCTGGGGCAGGGATGGCACAAACAGGCCCTGATGTAGTTCCAGAGAGAGAGCAGATGCTCTGAGCTCCACAGTGACCCTGCTCAGCCCCTGCTTCCCGGTGCCTCGGGGCGAGCCCTGAGCTGCTCCCTCACCTCTTGGCTCTGGCATCTCCAGCCTCCTTCAGGTTAGGCTGAACCAGTGTCTGCATGGGCTGGGGGCAGCTGGGGAATGGTTTGGAGAAGTTTGGAGAAATGGGCTGCTCCTGGGGGCAGCTAGGGGTGGCAGTGCTCTGCCCCAGGAATGGTTTGGAGAAATGGGCTGCTCCTGGGGGCAGCCGTGCTGAACCCTGGCCGTGAAGCCGCAGAACGAGGCCGCTGTGGTCCGCAGCGGGATTTTGGGGTGCCTCCTGCCCTGGGGCTCAGCGCAGGGCCCGCGGCTGTCGGTGCCCGGCCCGGGCACGGCGCTGGCTCCGCTGCGGTTCTGTCCCGGAGCACCAGGTGGTGCCACCGCCGCGTCCCACGCGGCCCCGGGACCCGACGGGTCTCGCCCGGCCCCGTGTCCGGCTGCTCGGGGCCGCTCGGTGCGAACCGGGGACCCCCGGCTCCCCGCCGCCCGGGACAGCCGCAGCCGTTCGAGCCGTTCCCGCGGCAGCGGGCAGGAGATGCCGGTGTCGATGTCCTTGCAGAGCGTCAGCACCGTCGGCGGCTGTCCGGTACCCAGCTTCGGGTGCCGGTGATGTCCTGGGGCGCCGCCGGTGCGGGGTCTCCATCCCCGGTACACCTCGGGGGATCCCTCCTGCCGCCGGCTGGGCTCAGCGCTGGAGCGGTGGGTCCTCGGGGCGGGGGGAGGGCAGAGCTCCGGCAGCTGGAGCGGAGATGGGCTCCATCCCCGGCCCGACGGCGAGCAGCGCTCCCTCCGCGGCGGGGCGGATGGGCTGGCGGTACCGTCGGCGCGGAAGGTGGATGTCCCGCCGCGATGACCGGTGCCGGTAGCCGGTCCCACCGGCGAGGGCTGTGCCGGCGGGGGGAGCTGCGGAGCCGCCCGGCCCCCGGCCCAGCCCCGCCGCCCGCCCCCGGCCCGCCCCGGCCCGCCCCCGCCGCGGCGGCGGGCGCCACTCGGCCGCCGGTGGCCTCGGCGGCGGCAGCGGCGGCGGCAGCGGCGGCAGGATGCGGGCGGGCCGCGGCGCGGCGGGCGGGGAGGCGGCGGCCGAGGAGGAGGCGGCCGATGGGGCCAAGCGCGGCGGAGCGGCGGGGCCGGGGCGGGCGCGGGGCCGCGGCGGGAAGGGGTCCCCGAACGGCGAGTGCCGCCGCGGGGATCCGCCGCGCAGCCCCGGCCCGGAGCCGCCCCGCGAGCCCAAGGTCTCCTTCTCCTGCGGCGGCGGCGGCGCATCCCCCGGCGGGGCCAAGGCGGCCGAGGAGGGGGCGAGCGAGGATGCGGCCGAGGAGGTCCGCGGGAGCCAGGCCAGCTTCATGCAGCGGCAGTTCGGGGCGATGCTCCAGCCCGGCGTCAACAAGTTCTCGCTGCGGATGTTCGGCTCGCAGAAGGCGGTGGAGCGGGAGCAGGAGCGCGTCAAGTCGGCGGGGGCCTGGATCATCCACCCCTACAGCGACTTCAGGTGCGGGGTACCCGCGGGGCCGGGCCGGGCCGAGGGCACCTTGAGCCGCCGCCGGGCGCGGGAGGGACGAGCCGAGCATCCCCTTCCCCGGCGCGGGGATGCCGGAGCCCGGAGCCCTCGCCGTGCCTCAGCAAGGGCATCCCCTCGTCCCTTTGTCCTTCCCGAGGCCTCGGCAGGTTCGGCCCGGCTCGGCCCTTCTGAGCCCCGCCGGGCCTCGGCTCTGTCCCCGGAGCTGCCCGGGGTTCCGTGTCCCCCTCCCTGGGCAGGGCTGGGGCTGGGCAGGGGGACGTGCTGGTAACGCCTGGCAGAGCGCTGTGAAGGCTCCCCCCTCCCCCAGGGAGGCCTGATTCTGTCCCTGGTTGGAGGGGGATTCTTCTGCCTCCTGAGAGGACTCGAGTCCCCAGGATCCAGCCTGTGAGTCTGCCAGGCAAGGAATGACAAACCCGGGAGAAAGGCTCGACAGCTCCATCTCCTTCCCATCCCTGAGCCCTGGCGAGCTCCAGAGTGGCAAATGCTTCCCGAGTCGTGTGAAAGCTACGGGGAGGGATGGCTGCGCTGCCTGGGCAGGCAGCATGGCATCCTGCGGGGATGGGGAGGCCGAGAGACACCCTGCTGGCATTGCTGCTGAGTTGGACCCTGGTCCAGAGACCCCAAAGGGGCTGGAGGAGCCTTTGGCCAGGGGCTGGAGGGGCTGAAAGGCTCAGCCCCAGGTCGTTGTGCTGCTGTGCTGGTGAGAGGTTTGGGGTGGCTCGAGGGAGGGTGTGCTGGGTGCCTGAGTGGGGGATCCCCCCGAGGTGCATTTCAGGTTCTGCTCACTGCTGACACTGATGGGGCCCCGTGGGCTCCCTGAGGCAGGGGGAGGTGGCCATGGGCTCAGGGCAAGGAGCAGCACCTTCACCTCCTGCTTTCACCCTCGTGTGCTGCTCTGGCTTCCTCCAGAGGAGCAGCTGGAGGCCTTTGGCCACCTCTCAGGGCCAATTCCTGCACAGGGGTTTGAGCCTTTCCACCCTGGGAACTTGCCATGGGAACCCAGTGGAGCCCCCTCCTCATCTCGCTGGCTGGGCACTGGGTTCTGCTGCAGATTTGGGGTGAGAAGTGGTCACACTGCCTGGCCCCTGCCAGTCCTGTGGCAGAGGCACCTCCTCTGTCCCCGCCGTGACAGAGCAGAGGTGGCAGTGCCAGGTGGATCCTGGGGGCTGCTGAACGTGAGGGCTTTGCCCTTCCTCACTCCCTGTGCTCTTCCTCACCCTCAGCAGCTGTGGGATGTTGGGGGAGGCTGGGAGTGAGGTGACCCCCATGCCTGCACCGGGGCAGAGCCTGCCCTGCTTCTCTGAGCTGGCAGAGCCGTGGCGCTGGTGGCAGAGCCCACAGTGCTGCCAAGAGCGGGGATCTCCCTCCAGCGAGCCTGCAGTGGCCTTGAGGCCTCAGAGGATTCCCCAGAGTGCAGCAGCATCACTCCCTGGACTGGTGCTTGCAGCAGGCAGGTGGGTGCTGGCGTGACCTTGGGGAGTCACCCTGGCTGTCCTGCCCTGCACGGGCTTCATCCTCCTGGAGCCTCGATCGAGACTCGAAACCCATTGGGGCAGAGTGGCTGCCTGTGTTTTGGTGCTGGAAGTGGCGTAGGAGAGTTCCCTGCCCAGCGGGGAGGAGCTGCAGGCAGAGCCATGGCATCCTCCAGCTCCACAGCCGTGCACAGGAACAGCATCGGCCCACGCCAGGCTGGGCTGAGGAACCGCTCTGCCTGTGCCCGTCGGGGACGTGAGTGCATCCCTCCCATCTTGTCCTGCCTTCAAGGAATCAAAACAGCATTTTCCAGCAATGATAATGGAGCGTGACCTGGTGGTGTTTGCCCTGCAAAACCCACTTCCCATCTTAAGAGAAAATCATTCTCCATCTGCATCTGTGACATCATTTCATAATCGGCGTCATTTAGCAAATCCTGGCTCCTCGTGGCCATGGTGCTGCCATCGTTCACACTCAATTCAGGGCAGATTTGCTCCAGGAACCCAAAGTTGCTATTTACATAAATATTGAATGATGAGGAAGCAATCAGGGCAGCTGGTGAGATCCTGAGCTGCAAATCTGATCAAAGAGACCTTGTAAGTGTGTGCTGGAGCAGGGCCACCTCCTTTTGGGTGCTGGGCAATGATTGCCACTGACTTTGCCACTTCTGGTCTCCGGAGGAGCAGCCAAGCCAGCGCCAGCTCCTTCATTGCTTCTTTTGGGGTTTCTGCAGCAGCCCTGGGGCGTTGCTTTGGGCTCTGCAGGAGCTGCAGTGGTGGTTTGGAGGTGGTGGCAGTGCCCATCACCCCCTGACCACCAAGGGGCTGCTCAGGGGTTACTCCAGCCTTCCACAAAGCTGGGCTGGGACTGGGGTCGGAGCTGAGCAGGAGGTGCTCACTGATGATGGTTTTCTGTTGCAAGAGCTGTTCCTGCGTGTGAATCAGGGGCAAAGATGCATCCAGAGGACATATCCTGGTGTTGCTTGGCTGGAGCCTTCCTCACCCATATTTAAATGCCTCCAGGGGCTTTCCCTCTGCCTGGTGGTGCCACCACAGGGGTTCCTGAGCAGAAGGATGAGACTCACCAGCTGCTCTTGCTGCTGGTGTGTGTGACTGCTCTGGTGCTGGTGTTCCCATTCCCTGTGGTGAGATTTTGGGAGCTGGGCCCCTCCCTCTGCAGCGTCAGCTGCTGAAAGCCACCTCAAGGGGAGGACAGGCTGTGACCGACCTGGGGGATGGCGAAGGTTTGGGTCCTTGAGCAGTTTGAAAGCCTTTGTACCCCCTTCCCCCCAGGGTAAAAGGCTTTTCCAGGGGAGAGGGCACCAGTCATTCATCACAACTGGCGGTGCTGGGATCTGTGCCTTGGCCACCCCTGCTCATCAGCTTGGCCAAACTTCTGCCGTTGGATCCACAACCCCCTTCTCGCAGCAATCTCATTTTTAGAATATGAGTACTTAGTGCAAGTAAGTACTTAGTGCAATCCTGCCCCAATCCCACACTGCTCCCGTGCTGCCTCTGCCCCCAGGCAGCCAAAGGGCTCAGACCTCAGAGGCAGGGGGGAGCCTAAAGGAGCTCTGGGTGTGTGTCCCACGGCATCAGCACAGGCAGGAGAGGTTGGATCATCCCTGGCAATCCCTGGAGCTCTGAGTGCTGCCAGTGGAGTTAAACAGGGACCACCCTGGCATGCATGCGCCCCTCTGGGGCTTGGACCCTACTCTCATCTTGCCCAGGACCTCCGAGCAGCGCCGCTGTGCCAGGCCGTGGGCGGGTGATGGAGCAGAAGGTGGCAGCCGCCTCTCGCAGGGGCTTTGGGCATCTCCTGTCGTTGTCGCTGTCGTACAATTGGGTCAGAAGCGAGGGAGGGGTGTCGAGGATCCTGATTAATTTGTTTTCAGATATTTTTAGTAGCCTGGATTGGATCTTTTTTTTCTGCACATGAACCTTCCAAGGAAGAAAGCATTGGCATGGCACGCTGGTCCCCGGGGCGATCGCGCAGGGTCAGCTGTGTGCACTGGGGGATCAGGAGCAGTTTATCTTTCTCTGCAGGCCCAATTCTGCCCTGGCTCAGCCAGATTGCAGAGGGATTGGAGCCAGAGGGGAGTTTTGCCCAGCTGGCGTGGTTATTTAATCTTTGTTCTTCGCAGCTTTGCGTGGCCAATGCCCCTGTGGGACCCACGCACACAGCAGGGTCAGTCTGGGAGGGAGCTGCCAGGGGGTTTGGGGGCAGATCCACCCCACAGCAGCTCTGCTGATTTCAGCATCCCTGGGAGGTCGTGCTGTGCGTGGAAGCCCAGGGGTGCAGCAGGGACCCAGAGCTCGGCGTAGGGACGCAGGGGGGGCACAGCTCCTCTGGTGAGGGTACCCTGGGGACCGCCCTGGTGTGAAGTCATGGTTTTGCAGCAGTGACATCACTCCCGGTTGCCACGGCAATGTCTCACATGAGGAAGGTGTCATTGGAGAAAGGTCAGGAGCTGGGATGCTCGGCTCCTTCTGGTCCTGCGCTAGTCTGCGCAGTGGGGGTGGGGACCTGGCCCATCGCCCCTTCCTGTGTGCGTGGGGGTCTCCTCCTGTCCCCTCATCCCCTCATCCCCCAGGGCACGGCGTGGCCACGGCACCCCCCGCTCATCATCCTGCAGCTCCCAGGCTGGGCTGAGCGGGTGCGTGGGTGGGGGTCCTGCGTGTCCGTGCGAGGAGAATCCCCCCTACCCCTGCCCCACGGCCGGGCGGGGCAGGGCCGAGGTGGCCTCCGCCTCATCCTGCCGTGACAGAGCCGCGGTGACCTTGCAGATGCTCAGAAAGGTCGTGGGTGGCCCGGGAGAGAGGGACGAGGAGAGAGGGGAGAGGATGGGGTGGGCAGGATGGGGTGGGCAGGATGGGGTGGTCAGGGGTGGGCGGAGGAGCAGCGCGCCCCGCACCGCCCGCGCGTCCGGCCGGGCTGCGGCCACTGCAGCCGTACGTGCTCCGCTGCACCGGAGCTGCACCGGAGCTGCACCGGAGCCACCGCGGCTCCTTCCGCCGCCCCCGCGCTGCGGGGCCCACGGGCACACCCCACCCGGGCACCCCCCGAAAACGACCCGGGCTGAGGTGGCCCTGGCTGTCCCTGGGGACTGTCCCCTGTCCTCGGGTCCTCTCCGGGAGCGCAGAAAGAGGAGGGCGCCCTCAGGGCTCTACTGACTCCGCCCGGTTGTTTGGGGGTCCCCAGCCCACGGGATGCCCCCGGGCAGCTCAGCTGGAGCATGTCCCCCTCTGGTGCTCGGTGCCATCATTCTCCCCTTGCCCAGGACATGCTGCCACGGGCCAAATCAGGCCAGCAGAAGCCCTCAGTCCCATCCTCTGCCTCAATCAGGGGCTCTGCTGGCTGCAAGATCACCCTGGGGGCAGATTGGAGAGCGGGGAGCAGGCTGTGGGGAGAGGAGGAGGTTCCTGTGGCTGAGGTGGCATTAGAGTGACAGTGGCCCAGTGGCTGTGTCCCCTTGGCATGGAGGGGACTCTGGGGCGCTGGTGACATCCTCCAACATCTTCTCGCTCCCCAGATTTTACTGGGACTTCACGATGCTGCTCTTCATGGTCGGCAACCTGATCATCATTCCCGTGGGCATCACCTTCTTCAAGGAGGAGACCACGGCCCCCTGGATCGTGTTCAATGTGGTCTCTGACACCTTCTTCCTGATGGACCTGGTGCTGAACTTCCGCACAGGGATTGTCATTGAGGACAACACAGAAATCATCCTGGACCCCGAGAAGATCAAGAAGAAGTACCTCAAGACCTGGTTTGTGGTGGACTTTGTCTCCTCCATCCCCGTGGACTACGTTTTCCTCATTGTGGAGAAGGGCATAGACTCGGAGGTCTATAAGACAGCCCGCGCCCTCCGCATCGTGCGCTTCACCAAGATCCTCAGCCTGCTGCGGCTGCTGCGCCTCTCCCGCCTCATCCGCTACATCCACCAGTGGGAGGAGGTGAGGACCTGCCCTGGGAGCCTCTGGCAGCAGCCGGATGGCTGGAGAGTGTGGGAGCTAGAGTGCAGTGGTTCCCTGACAAACTGCTGCAAGGGGACCTGTGGGGCTGTGTGTGGGGCCGGTGGGTGACTGTGACCCACCCTGGAGGGTTTGGGGCATCCCTGAGCTGTGGTATAACACCCACCATGGGTGCCACCACGGCTGGCACACCATCCCCTGCTCTGCCAGCATAGGACCCTGTGCCCCTGCTCAGCTCAGCGCCTTCTGCCTCTCTCCCCTCTGGCTCCCTGCCCCACCAGGAGCTCAGGGAGCACTGGGGGGGACAGCAGGACCCCCAGCCCTGTGGGGCCCCCAGCTTTGAGGGTCCACCCTGCTCTGGGACATGCTCAGCTTTGCTGGCATGGCTCTGGCCCGTGCCCTGGGAGCTGCCCTGCTCCCTCCTCAGTGCCCAGAGAATCTGTGTCTCCCTGACCCTCGTCAAGGCTTGCTGCCATTAGCGCTTCCCAGGCAGCTATAAATAGGCAGGTGGAGCACAGCCACCTCGAGGCCGGAGCCAGGCCAGCCATTGGAGTCTCTTCCAGCTGAGGCCGTGCAGGTCGGTGCCCTGAGCTGGGCTGGGCAGTGGGGGACAGTCCCCACACTCACCTCCTGCCATGCCACCCACCCACAGATCTTCCACATGACCTACGACCTGGCCAGCGCGGTGATGAGGATCATCAACCTCATCGGGATGATGCTGCTGCTCTGCCACTGGGATGGCTGCCTCCAGTTCCTGGTGCCCATGCTGCAGGATTTCCCCCAGAACTGCTGGGTCTCCATCAACGGGATGGTGGTGAGTTCCCTCTGCCCCACGTCCTGCTCCTGGGGCTCCCAGCCTCCCCACATCATCCATCCTCCATCCTCCAGCCCCAGGAGATGCCATCCCCCGTGGGCCAGGGCTGTGGTGCCCCATGGTGCACAGAGCACCCGGCCACAGTGTCACCCTGGTGAGGTCTCACAGGACCTGGAGCAGGGGATTGATCAGGGTGGGAGGAATATGCTGACATGGGGCTCTTGGCCCCATCCCCTGCCGCCTTCTCCTGCTCATTAGCCACAAAGCTGCTATTAATAAATAATGGCTCCTGTTTCTAATTGCTCCCTCTCAGCCCTGCAGCCTCCTGCAAATGGCCCTTTCCCCCTGACTGTCTCATCCTGTTTGATCAGATTTCCATCTCTGCTCTGTTCCGCCTGGCTTCCTCCTCTTCCTCCCCTGCCTGTCTCAACCGTTTCCTTCCCTGCCTACTTCGCCGGGGGAATTTAGAAAGTTTGAAAAGTTTGCTTTTCAACAAATTCCTATTGCTGGGAGCGAGCTGGGACTGTGGCCAGGCGTGAAGCAGGGCGCTGGGCCCTCGAGCAATGTCATACAAACACACGTGCATGGCTGAGCTGTGTCCCTGTCACTGCAGAACGACTCCTGGAGTGAGCTGTACTCCTTCGCCCTCTTCAAGTCCATGAGCCACATGCTGTGCATCGGCTACGGGAAGCAGGCGCCCGAGAGCATGACGGACATCTGGCTGACCATGCTGAGCATGATCGTGGGGGCCACCTGCTACGCCATGTTCATCGGCCACGCCACCGCCCTCATCCAGTCGCTGGACTCCTCCCGCCGCCAGTACCAGGAGAAGGTAGGGCCGCGCTGGATGGGTCCCACAGCTTTGTCCCCTCCCAGAGCTGCAGCCACGTGGGGTGAGGGTTCTGCTTAGGAGCAGGAGGGGGGTGATGCAGTGGGAGTGGGATGTGGGTGGAGGGTCCCAGCTGACAGCAACTCTCCCCACAGTACAAGCAGGTGGAGCAGTACATGTCCTTCCACAAGCTGCCCGCTGATTTCCGCCAGAAGATCCACGACTACTACGAGCATCGCTACCAGGGCAAGATGTTTGATGAGGACAGCATCCTGGGGGAGCTCAACGAGCCCCTGCGTGAGGTGAGGGCTGGAGAGCTGGGAGGAGGATGGGGATTACCTCACCTTGCCAAGGGAAGGGATCCCTTCCTTCTTGCCGTGGGTCCCACCAGCTCCTGCCGTGCACATGCTTGGGGTTGAACACCTCTCCGTGTGGGAGTGTGTCCATGCACAATCTGCATGCCAGGGTGTCCGTGAGACTGTCTGGGGTGGGGAGCGTGTCCCTGGGGGAGCGTGTCCCTGGGGGAGCGTGTCCCTGGGGGAGCGTGTCCTGGCTTCCTGGGCTCACCCACTTCCCCACAGGAAATCGTGAACTTCAACTGCCGCAAGCTGGTGGCCTCGATGCCGCTGTTTGCCAACGCCGACCCCAACTTCGTCACGGCCATGCTCACCAAGCTGAAGTTTGAGGTGTTCCAGCCGGGTGACTACATCATCCGAGAGGGCACCATCGGCAAGAAGATGTACTTCATCCAGCACGGCGTGGTCAGCATCCTCACCAAGGGCAACAAGGAGATGAAACTCTCCGACGGCTCCTACTTTGGGGGTGAGCACTGGCATGACTGAGCCTGGGTCCCCTCGTGGGGTCTGTGAGAGTCACTGGGACACCTCTGCTGTCCCAGGGCACCCACTGCATGGTGGTTCTCACACCCTGCTCCTGGCCTGCCCTGTCTTGTCCTCGATGGTGGAGTTCTGACCTTGGCCCTGGCGTTTTTCCCCCAGAGATCTGCTTGCTGACCCGTGGCCGGCGCACGGCCAGTGTCCGTGCAGACACCTACTGCCGCCTCTACTCACTCTCAGTGGACAACTTCAACGAGGTGCTGGAGGAGTACCCCATGATGAGACGGGCCTTTGAGACTGTGGCCATCGACCGTCTCGACCGCATCGGTAGGACACAGAGGGACCTGGGGGGAAGAGGGGGTGTCTTGGCAAAAGGGGCAGCTGTGGTTCCCCATGAGAACCCACCACAGCAGCAGTACAGGGTCTCACGGTGCTTCCTCTCCCGGCCTTCTCCCTGCAGGAAAGAAGAACTCAATCCTGCTCCACAAAGTGCAGCACGACCTCAACTCGGGTGTCTTCAACAACCAGGAGAACGAGATCATCCAGGAGATCGTCAAGTACGACCGGGAGATGGTGCAGCAGGCGGAGCTGCAGCAGCACACGGCCATGTACAGCCCCGTGCAGCCCCAGGTCACCTCCGCCATCGCCACCCTCCAGCAAGCCGTCGCCATGAGCTTCTGCCCGCAGATGGCGAGCCCGCTGGTGGGCTCCATGGCGCTGGGCTCGCCCCGCATGATGCGCCGCTTGCAGTATGCCCAGGCCGTGCCCAGCCCCTTCGCCGTGTCCCCCGTCCTGCTGCAGCAGAGCCCCCCGCCGCAGCCGCAGCCCCCCGTGCCCCACGCCAACCCCTCGCCCTCGCAGGACCCGGCGCAGCCCACGGCCCTGCCCGCCTCCACCAGCGCCTTCGCCGCGGCCGCGGCCAGCCCGCCGTCCCAAAGCCCGCTGGCCAGCCGGACGTTCGCCTACGGAGGTGCCCCCGGGCCGCTGGGCTCGCAGCTGTCCCTCAGCCAGCAGCCGGCGCCCGGCTCGCCCCAGCGCCTGGCCGCCCACAAGAGCACACAGGCGCTGCACACCAGCAGCCTCAGCCAGGATTCGCGGCCCCTCTCGGCCTCGCAGCCCTCGCTGCCCCACGGGCTGGCGGCCGGCAGCACCCAGAGCCCCCCGGCCTCCGCCCGCGAGTCCAGCACCTCCATCGGAGGGGGCCCGGCCGCCGCCTCGCCGGGCCCAGGCCCTCCGGCCGGGCTGCGGGCCCAGGCGCCCTCACGGGGGGCTCCGGCCCACCCGGCGCCCGCGGGCCCGGGGCTGACACCGCCGCCCGTCCTGCCGCAGGACTCGGCGGTGGCCCGCAAGGATTCGGCGTCCAGCACGCCCGACACGGACCCGGCCAAGTCCAGGCTGTCTTCCAACTTGTGACCTCCGCACCGGGCACGGGGCCAGGCGCACTGGAGGGGCGGCAGCAGGGACCCCCCTCACCCCGCGCCCACCCTGCGCCGCCGGGCGAGGGCCACGGACGCCCCCCGCTCCCCGTCCCTCCTGCCACCCGCTCCAGAGCGGGGCGGCTGCCCAGGGTGGGCCTGGGGCTGCTGTGCCCTCTCCCCACCGTGGGGTCACCGGGCCGAGCCCCCGGGCGTGTCGTCTCCGACCAAAGTCTGACCCTGTCGCCCGCTCCCCGCGGCGAAGCCCCGCTGCCCCCCCCGGCTGCCCATAGAAGCCACAGCTGCATTCTCGCCATGACCAACTCTGTTGATGATATCTATGACCTGAACACATCCCTGTGTGTGACCCGCAGGACACCTCCCTGGGGCTGTCGGCGCAGCCCCGGCGCCGCGCGTGCCCCCGCGCCCCTCTCACAGACCCAAGGCGAGGGGCGGTGGTCCAGGACTGGAGGTAAGTTGGGAAGGGTCTGAGGGAAGGTCGCCCTGAGGCTTGTAAGCACCCACAAACACGCTGTCCCCCACGCCGGGGCTGGGGGTGAGCACAGCCCCGTGTCCCCGTAGGCAGCGCTAGGACGGAGGCAGGCGCTGGAGCCCGAGCCCTGGGGCTGGGGCAGGCACCTACCAGTGCCTGTGCGTGTGTTGTGTGTGCGTGGGTGTGTGTGCAGGTGTGTGTGTGTGTGTGTGTGTGTGCACGTGTGCCTCGCTGCCTCGCACTCTGGAGCCTTCCACATTGAATGTACCGCGAGCGCGGGGCCCGTGCCAGCCCCGGCACCCTGCGGCCGAGCAGCCGGAGGGACAGGGCCCCGCTCCAAGCGTCCACTTTCCCATCCAGCCCATCCTGTGCAATAAACGTCAGCAGCTGAGAGAGCTACGCACGACTCCGGCTCTGCTTCTTCGCCACCGTCCCTCCCGCTCCTCCTGCCCGCCCCGGGAGCTGAGCACTGGGCACAGCCCCAGCTCAGGCTCGGGGATGCAGCTTTGTCCTTTGAAGAACTGCCTCCCTTGCCAGGAAAGCCACAAGGTGAAAAGTCTCTGCCAGCAGCTTTCCCCTCGCTCCAGCAGCAGCCAGGAAGAAGCTGGGTGCAGGCTGACTGTGAGCCTGTGGTTATAGGGCACAGCTCCATGTGCAAGGTGCCAACCATCTCCAACACCAGCCCAGTGGAGAGGAGCTCTGAGAAGCCTCAGCTCAGTGAGAGAGTGAGGCTCCTGACTGGAAAAGCTGCAGTTAGCCCCTGTGAAAGTCCAGTTCCCACTGTAGCTGCACTGGCACAATTCCATGTTTCTGCTACAAAAGCATTTTCAGAATGTGACACCCTGTGCCCAACCAGTTAGCAGAACAGGCCCAGACTGGGAGGCAGCAATCCCACCTCCCCGTGCCCCTGGCAAAGACAGGGGTCAGGCAAAGATTCCAGACAACAGAGGACTCATCTTGTATTTCAAAAAACATTTTATTTACAATATTGTACATGTTGACACCCAAGTTAGTGGTTTTCCCTGCCTGAGCAGCAGCAAAACTCATCCCTGGAAAAGAGTGAAGAGCAGAGGCTGCGCTATGGGAAGTGAGGACAGTGCCCAGAGCTGGAGCAGAGCACAGAGCAGCACCTGCCCTGTGGCCAAGAGCAGGGCTGGGGCTCCTGCTGTGGCCAGGTCAGCTGCCTGCCCCTCCAAGTGTGAGTCCTGCTGCTGGAGAGGGAAAGAGAGGGACAGCACCCCAGGACAGGCAACAGCCAGGCAAAGGACAGTGCTCACAGCACTGGGGTGAGGGCTGAGGGCAGCCACCCCTTCGCCCCCAGCCCAGAGCTGCAGCCCTCGGCAGGGCTTGGTGCCCTCCCCCTGTGCTGGGACAGCAGTGACAGCAAACAGTGCAGAGCCCCGTGCCCCACCAGCTGCTCAGCAGAGTCTCAGCTTGCCCCAGCACCTCAGAGTGAGGCAGGGCTCTCGCTGGGCTGGAAGCTGCGCCTTCTTCCCCATGAGATGTGGGACAGAAGAGCATTGCAGGCCAGTGCCCATCATGGCTGGAGCTCCAGAGGTATCCCAGGGCCCTGCGGGCTGCCAGGCTCAGCTGAAGAAATATGTGGAATCCATCACTTGCTTCAGGTTGAATTCACCTGAGGGGAGCAAAGGAGAGGTCAGAGGAGAGCAAGGATGGACAGGGAGAGGGAAGTGGCCTCAGTGTATGAAGGATCCCTGCCCCTGGACTGTGCTGCCCATGGAGCCACTGCACACAGAGGTCAGGCAGAGCCAGATGGCCTGGCAGACACAGGGCTGAGGGATTAGAAGGAGTTAAACTAATTGCCTTAATCCCATTGCATGTATATCATCTAGATCCTGGCAATTACCATGCCGAGTCCCTCGCTCCCATCTCCCAGCAAATGCTCATGGTTGGAAACAGATGGGAGCAGAACAAGAGCAGGATGGGAAGAGCTGGGTCAGCCTGGGGGAAATCCCAGGAACTCAGCGAGGATGGCAGGGAGCACTCACAGGAATGCTACAGGGGAATGTGGACGTGCTGGACTGCTCTGCCCCATGGCTCTGCAGCCCAGCATAGGAGAGGAAACCTGATCCAAGGAGACAGTTCTGGCTTTTTGCCTTTTGGTGGTTTTTGGGGGCCACTCCATCTCATTCCCCTTGTCTCCAAAACACTCCTGAGCTCTGCATGTTCCTGTCCCATGCTCCTACCTGTCCTGGGGACACTCGACAGCTGCTCCATCAGTCTCTTCTGCCACTGGGCTATGGGCTCCGTGCTGGAGCTGGATGAACTAGAAGGAAGCAAATAAACACGGGTTATCTGGAACCAGGCACATCCTCCTCTGCTCCCTAGTGCAGCCCCAGGATTCAGCTCTTCCAAAACAGACCATGCAGCCCAGAGTGAGAGCAGGAGCCCAGCCCCAGCAGCCCAGCAGGGCAGGCCCTAAGGCTGTCAAACCCTCCCCTGGTTCTGCAGGGTGCAGAGCCCTGGGTTTTTACACCACTGTTGATGGTGATTTGGGTGTCAGGCAAGAAGGAAGGACAGCTTCTCCCCAGAGCAACCCCCAAGCAGGTGACACCACCTGTGAGCACCTGAACACAACCTCTGGGAAGTGGGGGGGAAATCCAACAGGTCAGGAATACCTGCAATACTTCTCCAACATGAACTCAGACAGATCCTGCAGAATCTTCTCGCTGTGCAGAGCCACAAACTGCTGCCGACAGACCTGACCAGGGAGACAACTGTGAGGTGCAGCTCAGCAGGTGTTTTCCCTCCTTCCCCCAGTGACAGGTCAGAGGTGAGGGGCAGGGAAAGCAGCAGGAGTGGGAAGTAGGGGCTGCCAGACAAGGGTGAAGGGAATCAGCCCGAGAAGATGTGAAGCAGAGATTGACCCCCATTAGCACAAAAGCCTTTGGGAAGGACCCAGGGCAGGGCAGGGGCACTGGCTGCCAGGGCTGTGTTTAGTGCCTGTTTCCACACTCTCCCCACACACTCCCTGCAGAGTGGGAGGAGAAGGGGCAGCAAGAAATCAGCTGCAACCACCAGCAAACATCCCAGGTTCACCTGACCCGGGTGAATCAATCAGCCTATGGAGCAAAGCCCAGGGGAGGCGCGGCCTGGCACGGGCCCAGAGCACAGATCAGCAAGATCTTGCTCCCAAGGGAGCCAGGAGGACACTTTTACCTGGTTCATGACATCCACGGTGAGCGCGTGAGTCCAGTAGCAATCGTGGACTGAGACGAAGGTCAGGCCCTTCCTGGAGGAGGCAGAGGTGCCATGAAGCAGTGCTGAGACCCCTCTGTGTGATGGAACCACCCCACGCAGAACCCCTGGCTGGGACAGGAGCAGGAACCACACAAGGGGGACTCCCTGCACAGCAGCTTTTCACAGGGAGGTGGCCAATCCCAGATCTCCCTGTCCCTGTCCTGCTGCTTCCTTTCCTTCTGTGCCAGGAACCCCAAATGCCCACCCACAGGGACTCCTCAGTGCCTTGCCCCAGCAATGTTCTCCCAGGAGAGTCCTGAGCCACAGAAGAGCCAGGTGAGAGCCCAGCTGCCCACTCCCTACCTGAGGCAGTGCAGTGCTGTGAGCATCATGTGTGTGGAGTCCAGAGAGTGGATGAAGTTGGGAGGAAAGGCATTTTTCTGCTTCACAGTGTCAGGTTTCCTGCAGGACAAAGTGGGGCACAGAGGAGCTGGGGCATCTCAAGGCCAAAGATGACAGCGCTGGCACAGAGACAGTGCCACCCCAGCCTGGGGGTGAGGGGGCTGCCCTGAAGGGCCCCAAGGCCCTGCTGCTCTGTCCAGCTTTCTGCAGCACAGGGGCAATAACAGGAGCTCTGGCACTCCTTGACAGCTTCCCTGACAGGAAGGCCTTGTCCCCAGAGCACAGGCTGAGGCCAGCACGGGTGCAGTGCAGGCCATGGTTTTGTACTTACTGGCTGCTGTTGGAGGTTTTCACACTCAGGCGCTGCATGCCACAATTCAGCTGTGGGGAGAGGGGGTACCAGCTGTCACCCTGCCCTGCCTGGCAGCACGGTGAGCTGGGCACTGCCCCACTCTTCTGGAGAGGGGCTTGTGCCTTTCCAAGGTGTCCCAGAACCATGTCAGCTGCCACTGCCCAGTGACACTTTGCCCAGCTCCCCTCCTGAGGCTGCTGGCAGGCATCTGAACCCCTTCACCCTGGCAGGGTGAATTGGCCCGAGAAGGGCTGCTGGAGCCAGGCTGGGGGCTGTGAGTCAGCACAGCAGCACGTGGGAGGTGACAGCAGCGAGACTGAGTCACACCAGCCCTGAGGAGGCTCTGAGAGCGGGGAACGGCCCGTGCCCCAGCTGCCTGAGTGGGATGGAGCCACAGAGCTTCCTCACCAGCTCACCCACACACTCCAGGCTCTGCAGGGAGCCATGAGGCTGGAGGATGTGCCTGCACTCAGGGATCCTACCTGCTCTGCAGGCTCACCCACCAGTGATGCCAACCCGGCTGTCTTTCCCCTGCTCCCAACACGGCACAGGGAAGGTGGGCCATGAGAGCTGCCTCTGGACACTCACCACGGTGGATCTGGAGCGATAGTAGGGCTGCACGATGGGCAGCCCCAGCGGTGTGACCCACTCCACCGTCCGGCCCGACTGGGCGATGAGCTTGGCACTCTCTGTCA